ATATTAGCAGAGAAAAAGATGGTCGGATTGGATGTGGGGAGGGGAATTCTGATTTTATATGTTTTATATTTTTATGGAGTTCCACACATGCATTGTGAAATATGGTGATGGGAGTTTGGGTGGCGATCTTATCACTGCAAAAACCACTGTTTATCAAATTTTTTGCATAAGCATAAGTATTATTTTGCTGTTTTTATTTCCCATCATCAAAAGCTTCCCAAAACTTGTAAATAAAATTCACCCAAAGCCAACACTGGATCATGAAACAGTCTGGACAAGAACGATGAGTAACATTAAAGAAGCATTAGAAAAGAGAGTCAGGGACACTGGGTACAGCAATGATCTGTGCTTTTCAACCATGCTCACATTTCTAATATGTTTTCCATTAAAGAATGACTTTCGACTTGTGTGAGGGATTTGCACAACCCAGCCAGAAAACCGATTAAACTTTTCATTAAAAAAAAGGTTTAAATTTATTTCAAAAAAGTGTTCCAAAAAATTATGAATTGGGCCAAAAACAGAGGTTAAAAAAAAAAGAAAAAACAGACTTCAATTCAGGTACTAACATAAAGAACTAAAGCACAAACTGACCTATCAAACAAGCCATGAGGGAAACTTAAATAGTTGCTGATCAGACCACTGTTGACACACAAGGGGGATAACTGACTGACAAACTAACAATTAAACTTAATTAAACAAATAAATACTGGTAGGACACTAAATTTTTTCTTAAAATTTAACATATTAACAAAACTACCCAAAACTCTATTATCTAAATATATCTAAACAAATGATAAACAAATTTCCTTTCCCATTACAACAAATGGTGCGACCTGCTGATTAGCCTCAAACGACCAATTGAGATAAAAGCTGGAGCTCATTGCAGCCCTTCAGCAGCAGATCCAAAGGAAACAACCTGAAAAGTTAAGTTAACTAAATGTGTGCACTTCATAAAGCTTACTTAAAGGCTAATGAAAATATTTCAAATGTGCAACTCATTTTGAGAATTAAAAATATAAAAGTTACCTCACAGCTTTAGAGTGTGACAGCAGGCTGTCACAACTTGTCTATCATTCATCTCCTTAATTGTCTTATCATTACCGGTCTCACTAACATCATTAACTTAACAGGTCAGAGAACAGACATTGCAAGGCAAGTTTATTTGTACATAACATTTCAGTAACAAGACAATTTAAAGTACTCTATGTGACAGTAACATAAGAAAAGACATGCAGAGACAAAAAATAAATAAATAAATATAGCATTGGCATAATTAATTTAGGAGGAAAAAAAGTTGGACTACAAACTTAAACTAATGATGTTTCTGGTAACCGTTTAAAACAACCAAAAATAACTCTAACCAAATGGGCTTTTATCTTGATTTAAGAAAACTTGAGCCAGAAGACCTGAGAGGTTTGGGCAGTTGATACACCAACAACAAATTATTAGTATATTCTTGTCCATGTAATCTTTTCAGTAATTTGTGTCAAGGTTGTGGGGATTAATGAGTACATATGAGGGCATTCAGCTGGTCCCCATATGGTAAAGTTCTCTTCTTTGGGTTGGAGTTAGGTTTAGGACCAAGGTGTGAAATCAGTTTAGGTTAGGTATATATTGGTAATGGTTAGGGTAAAAGTCTGGGTTACATCATATAAAATGAATGTTTCGCAAATAAATGTCTCCATAAAGCATGAAAAAACAGCAGTGTGTAAAAAGTTTTGTAAAACTACACAAATGAATAGAAGCTTGTTAAGGGTTACAAACATCTGATCACATCAAAAGGTGGTGGAAATACACGTCCTTCTCAAAATATTGGCAGGAATTTGGGGTTTTCATGAGCTTTCTGCCAAAATCATCACATTAAGACAATAAACGATCTGAAATAATTTAATTAGTGTGCAATAAATCTAAAATATATGAATGTTCAAGTTTTATTATTACATTATGGAAAATAATGTACTTTATCACAATATGCTAATATCTTGAGAGGGATCTGTAGTTGTGCACCCAAACACAGGGTTGAAGGAGCCAGAGATGAGTTTTGCTGATTTAATGGCAAGTAAAAACGACAAACCAGCAATGAGGAACTGCACAGGAGGTGTATATATAGTGGACAGAACAAATAATGAGCTAATCAGCTGATATGGAGCAGGTGTGAAAAGAAGTAACCAGAAGGGAGTTCGGGGAAAGGAGACTGGCACAAGGGGGCAACAGAGAGTAACTCAAAAAATGCAACACAGCTTAAATATAACACAAAATGGAAAAGAAACTAATGACCAATAAAACAGAATAAAAACTCAAAAAGAGGTCTAAAAGGGGAGAAACATAACAGGTCAAGCTTTAACTTCCTGTATGAAGATTTAACTTGTGAAAAAAATGATGGGTTATTAGATTTTTTTATTTGCAAAGCACTAAGTAAGCTTAAAGGATTAATTTAAAGATATTTAGAGATGAGTCATGTAGGATGTGATGATGCGTCATCTTAGGAGACTGGGAAAAGGAGAGGAGATAGTGTGTGGGCATAGTCTCAGGAGACAGACTTTTCCAACTTTGGACATGCCAGATGGAACTAAGAACGAAAAGGAGATGAAATACAAGTGAAGAATGAGGCAGGAAAGGAGAGGAAGATAGATTAGGGTATTGAGATAGAGGGGGAAGAGATAACAGAAAATTTAGGCCCTGGGGGTGGGGTCAAAAGAACATGAAATAATTGAGGTTGATGGGTGAGCTGGGTTTATGTCAAATGCAGGGTAATTAGAGCTCCCAAACCCTAAATCAACATATTAACTTAATTTGCATTTGTAATTGAGACACTATAGGGTTGGAGAGAATTCTCAGCAATTTTTGCACCCTTCTCATGTAACAAAAATATTGGATTGGGAACCAAAAATAATAAATGAAATGATCAAATCTCCAAGAATATTATAAGAGAAATAACTATGATTAGATATCTACCTCTGACTGGAACTATAGATGAAGCTTTCATTCTCTCCAAACCTGTTGTGTCCACTGTCCCTACCCATCCCCCATTTTCGTCCCGCCTCTCCTCTTCTTCCTCCTCTTAAAATCACAGCTGACTTTACAGCATTTCAGCTCTGTTTGCTGACGCATCAGTAGTGGGAAAAGAAAGACAAGTGTGCCTGTAAGAGGAGATGAGAAGGCAGAAGGAGAGAAAGAAGCCCCAGCGGAGAAACGTGTGATGGAGCAGAAGCAGGCAAAAAGCAAAGCATTACAACTGTGAAAGAAAAGAACAAAACCATTATTGTCAAACATGGAGACGTTCACTGAGCCTTACATGAGAGCTGCTCTCGGGAACATACAGATCTCTGCTGTGCCTCAGGGACTTACGGTCTTGATTACATTAACCACCACAATGGCAGGATTTCTGTTATCTACATGGATCCAAAGCTTTTCCTGTGTGACCCCCATCTGTATGAAAAACTTAATAGTCCGACATCCTCAGAGTTATTACATTCAGAGTTGGAAGTCATGAAACAGCGGATGTAGACTGGAGCTTTCCTTTAAAATTAAACAAACTGTAAAACAATATTGAATCATCATCAGAAAAATAGATGTTCTGAAACATCTCTTGACTCAAAATTGCATTGCTTTCTGGAGAGTGAATATTCAGGTAATCCAGTCATCAAAAGGCTAGGCAAAAATTAATTTTAATATGTTTTTAGTGGAATTAATAGTTTTTGGATTCTAGTGTGGTTTGTGATGTTGTGCAATTATTACACATCAAATGCCCACCCCAATAGGAATGGAAAACATGTTATCACATTATATTCTGAAAATCATATATTGTTCTGTGAACACATGGCCAACTGGCTGTGTGTTAGGACTACAAATGAAAGTGTGAATCAGGCTCATATAAAAAAAAAAAACATTCAGCCCACTGAAACATATTTTAGTTAAATACTTTTTACAACATTTTTGAAACTTAGCAAAACTGAGCCACTATGTACACAAAGAAGAAGAAAAAAAAACATGGTTGAAAATATTAATAAATAGAACGATGCAAGGATATCACAGTTCTGTATGGGTTTTATGTTTGAGAACCATCTATCCTGAATAATTTGGTCAAATAAGCTTTAACCTAATGTAGAGCAACTTGAATGTGTTCAAACCAATTCACAATGAAAATCTAAGACATAAATAAAATATTATTCATTTATTTATAATATTTAATTGCACAATTTGCTTAATCAGAAACAAACAGTTACTGTAATTGAACTCTTTAATCATATTTTTTTTACTTCTTTAATTTAAAAAGATTAAAGAAATGTTTGTTCAGAACCACAAATCATACAAAACCAATAAAAAACAAAAACCAAACTACACTATATATACCAAAGCAAATACGTATGAAGTGATTTATTACTGAATAAATGTAGGCTTATTTTAACCCTTACATCAAACAAGAAAACAAGGTAAAGAGAGGCCATCACTTGTCCACTGCATCTAACCTTTTTTTTTATTAAACACACTTTCCTCCATGACTTAACTAACCTTGTAAGCTACATCACTTTTCCATTGAAACCCCTCCATTGACAGTTTGATTAGGTCTTCTGTAGCTCCAGGTAATGGCTTAAGGAGGACTTAATACCTTAATGCCTTGTTGACACTTCACCCGATCTCCAACTGCCCAAGGATGTTGTTTGAATCAAATCGGAAAAGAAAAACGTTTGTGTAAAGAGAATATATGACAAAGGTTTGTTTACATTTAGGAAAAAAAATGCTATGTGGTACATTTGCTTACCAAAGTAGAAAAGAAAGAACAATAAATTCAAATTAGTCCAATTTGATCATCATTGATAACGTCTATGGCTGAATTTGGATCAATTAGGGCCTAGCAGATGTGCAGAATCATGGCTAACCCTCAGGGCTTAAGACAGACAATTCAATTTTCCTCAATAAATGTAATACCATTAGGATGGATAAAAACAGGCAAAAGTCTAAAGGGAGGAGTCTTTTAAAAAGCAAAGAAGTGAACAGGGTCAGAAGAGACGCAGCAGCTGCTCAGAGTAAAGAGAGGACACCAATAAAGCTTACAACCAGATAAAATAAAATAAGGAAACCGCAGATGCTCTAAAGGATCGCTTACATTAGAGATTGAGAGGAGAGAAGACAGGTAGAAACTGAGTTGACTGAGACCTGAAATCTAATAAGAAAATTTTGAAGAATCACATCTTTGGCTAATGTTACTTTAATTTTAAAGCAGGGCTGGGGGAAAGTTCCCTCACAGTTCATTTTTTGGCCTAATTTCAACTTTAGTGAGAGAGACAAAGTAAGGAAAAAAATTAGTTTGGAAAGAAAGCTTGAGGTAACCACAATGAGGATGTTTAACAAAAACCTCCGCCTTCAGGACATCACCATCATGTACTTCACTGGCCTGGCTGCCCTTATGGTCATCCTCGTGGCTTCGTATCAGGCACCCTCCAATGCCGTAGACGTGTCCAGCGTAAAGCCGAGCCCTTCCAGTGATTTGCCACCTCTCACCATGCCTTTCCATATGCCTCTGGATCCACGCGGGGATCTCCTGCTGTCCTGGAACATCAGTTATGTCAGCCAGGAGGTTTACATGCAGCTTAGGGTTGCAGAGCTCAAACATGGGGTGGTCCTTGGGATGTCGGATCGTGGTGAGCTTACTAATGCAGACCTGGTTGTGCTGTGGGACACTGGGACAAGGAGCTACTTCGGGGTAAGCAAACATAAGATGTTTTAAATAATTGCTTTGCAGCAAACATTATATTGACTATTGTTGGACAGGCTAGTTAAAGAAATCCTGTGAGTGCAGGGATCTTAAGGAGCAGGGATTTCCCACCACTTCTTTTTTGTCTATGGTGGAGGTGTACATTTGGTGTTTTTCTAAATGCAGCCTTGGGTATAGTTTTCATTGCATGATCGCTAAAGATCTTATCAGGTCTTCCTAATTGGGAATCAGTCAAACTGCACTAATAGCTGCTGCTCTACTGGGAATCATTAACAGATATTTGCATATCAAAGTCGAATCAGATGCTAATGAGGATGTGCAAAAAGGCTATTTTGAGATTACTTCTAAATTTAGGGTTTGAAAAAGTAACCCTCTTAATAGCTAAATTAGATATCGTAGAATACTATTTAAGTATCCAGTTTGTTTAATTATTCAATGCCATAAAAAAGTTATTGTTTTGAGTCGGTAATTTGCAGCAATCTCTAATTTTTAACAATCATTTGGCGATTAGAAAGGAAACTTTCGCTTTTAATGGGAATAAATCTGCAGAACCAGATATGGTTAAATAACTATTTGCTGTATTGAGCCTGGAGTTGAGAAAAAAAACAAGGGCTCAAAGAAAAATAAGCAGAAGCAAAAGTCAAAGAGTATTTTTCATATTACAGAAAAAAAACAGGATGTAAAATAAAGTAAAAGCAGCAATCGCTCCAACATTGACTGTCCAGGAAAGAGACAGAAAAAAACCAAACAAAACACTAAGCCAGGTGTTTTTCTCTAAGCTTAAAAAAATATGAGAGTCAAAAGAATTCATGGTAAAGGTTGCATTATTTACGACTCCAACAAAACCATAAGCTGTCTATGAGAATAAAAAACTAAGTGAAGAAAAAGTTTGATGCAGCGGTAACTTTAAAATAAGCTTTGCACATTGTTAAAGTTTCTCCCTTCTATTCCTGAGCACACAACCTTTACAGAGAGTACTATTTTAGAATCACTTCAAATTTGTTGCGTACATTTTTTTTCTATTAGAACACAGAAGAAGTTATTGATATAAATTATATCTTTTGCATCTAAAAGCACAATTAGTTACAAAACTCAGAAATTGCAAAGAGATGGATGTTATGATGGCATACTGAGAACTTTGTTGAAGAAATTAGATCAAAGACTTTACCATGTTTTAAATATTTACCTTTAAAATTGCATAGAGTAAGCTAATTTGCTCTTCAAATATACTTTACATTAAAGTAGATAGGAATCTTTAAAACCTCCATGTGATAAAAGGGAAAATAATGTGAGAAAAGGCTGTTTTGTTTTTTTCAATTGGTTGCACCCAATCTGATGTTGTTTTTCATTATTTCCTCCCCAGGGATGAAATTTACTCACAAATAAAAGGTCACAGCTATGCTGCAGTCACCAACCCTGTCTTCACAAACACACACAAACATGTCTCTCTATCTTTGCGGGCCCTTTCCATTAACTTCCAATAATTTCTACAGCTTTACTCTTACTATTACCATAAATATACGGTAACTATAACAGATTCATACCAAACCTTAACCCAAACTCAATTCACACATTAGTCCTAATCATGACCCCCTGTAAAACAGCGATTCCTCACATTGGGTCCAGGCATGGAGATCCACAAGAAGCAGTCAGTCCCCACAGTGTGCTAATTTTCCAGAAAATGGGCCCCACAATGTCTCAAATCCAAGACCACACACACATTTTGTGTCACACTATCCTTGTAAGGACTTGTCATTGACTTCCATTCATATTGCTTTCATTTCTATGGCCTAATACTGCCCCTTACCCTAAGCCTAAGCAAAACTAACCCTAAACATAGCCCAAAACAAAACATGGTCACATACACACATATAAAGACATATTGTTCTCAAAAAACAGGTTTAATTTTGTCTGTGTTCCAGTGGTGTGTTGTTATTAAAAAGAAATATATTTCCTTTATTATGGGGTAAAACACTATTTCACACTGATATAAAAGTTGTTTTAGACATCTTTTCATAAGAGAAATAAATGAAAATGGGAATAGTACCGGTAGATATACTGTGTAACAAAATCTGCTGTCCGTCGCAAACTTAGTTTGCTGTTCCAGTTTTTCTGAGCGTGGAATCAGCAGAAAAAAGCAGCAGAGAGGATGAAACTGTCGTAACATCTCACTGTAAACCGTGCTTTGTATTTCTGGTCAAAGAAATTGAATAAAAAAATACTCTAAACATGACTATATAACTGAACAATTTTACTTAATATAAACTGTGTTGTAAATACAATGTTTTCAGATCTGTTTCCTGTACTAGAATTACAATGCTCATTGGGACCTCCTATTGGCCTGGGGGTATACAGAGCCAGCAGCACAGTATGCTGTGTCTTGGGCCCACTCTGTCAGATTGAATTTGAATAAATACTGTTTGTTTTATGTAAAGTGCTCTGTGACATCATTTACTATGATCTAGCATCACCTAAATAAAATTAATTAAACTGATCTTGTATATTTTCTACATACAAAGAGATAAAAACCTTTTCATTACATTTTAAAATAACACACTCTTCAGAAATGATTGTAAAATCTGCACAAAACACATTAAAGTAATTGTACGTCTAGTTATCTTACCCGTTTGTGTAAAAATGCAAAATGTTGCATGAAACGATTTAAAGGAATGATGGACAGCATACGATCCAGGAACAGAGAAGAAAGGGTGTTAACTCACCATAGAAATGTGCCAGAATGCTTTTCAAAATACTTGCATATAACATTGCAAACAACAATTTTATATGCAAGTATATTGTGTCTTTGCATTCCTGTCAAAACATCAAAAAAGCAGACTATACTTTTATGAGTGATACAGGATGATTTCCGCTTGATTACCATAGAGCCTATTCTTCTTTTGCAGTTTTATTTTTAACTCTGAAAACCTAAAAACCAACATCTATTAGTTGCCATGCCTATATATTGGATATAATTTTAATATTTGTTTTATTATTATCATAGATATTTATCAAAGATGATCAGTTTTTTTTTTTTTCCAAAGTCACCATGCAGCATTTGCAGCACTAAACAAGTTTGATTCAGCTTGACTAAAGCCAGAAACGGCTTTTTGGATTGTAAATGTTGCAGACTTATATAACAGAAATTGCTTTGAAGCCGTGAGATGTTCAAAACTATTTAGATAATATTTCTTCAACTCTGCTGCCTATTCAGTGCTAACTTACAACAATCAAGGTAAACCATTTATTTGATTTGTACACAATGCCCACTTTCTGAGCCACAGTCTTAAAAACCTCTTGGAGTTTGTGTGGGACTGTTATATAAGAGTAACAGAGGAGAAGAAATGAGAGATCTTAGGTGTTATTTTGGACAGGTAGGAATGTGAGAAACACAGCTGAGGCTACAAAGCCTTCTGGCAGAGAAGAAGAACATCTTGCATGCCAGGTTGGGAAAGGTTTCCCAACACCAGGTGCCACTCTTTTTAACTTGTTCCTTTTAAGAAATATATCATTATTCTCTATCAACTGACTCATCACAACTGATACTGTTTGTCACAATTATTATATAGTTACCAGTGTTGTCTTTTATATCGCTTACTTTTGCCCTTTCTTGACAGACACTTGCAGCTACCTTAATTTTTCAAAGTGATTATAATGATGTTTTGTACAATATCACAGCAGGAACAGCGCTCCACTTTACCAACCAGCCAGTTTATCTATTCTCAGAGTATTGATAGCGTCAAAGAAAATAATTCTACCACAATTCCTTTTCTTTCCACAAAATGGTAAATGGTCTGTACTTTTATAGCGTTTTTTTCAAGTCAGAGGACTTGACCAAAGCGCACTACACTGCAAGCTACATCGTAGCCACTGCTGCTCTGGGGCTCACTGAAAGAAGTGAGCTGCCGTATACTGGCGCCACCGTGACCTCTGACCTTCATCAATAGGCAATTCAGGTGAAGAGTCTTGCCCAAGGACACAACGGCACTGAAAGCCGGAGCCAGGGCTTGAACCGATAACCCTCCGATTGGAAAAGGATTTCTTTCATTGCATCGTTCTTGAGAGAAACGTTCGATTTATGAAATACTTAAAAACTAATGGCTTTATAAACAGATTCTCTTGGTTCAATAATATTCTCTAACAGACCTTAGAGCTTTTCACATGGCGGCTTTATTTATGCTGATTAAATGACACACAGTTGGACTCTATTTACTAAATGTGTGATTTCTAAAGACATTGGTTTCACTGCATTTCATTCTGGTCCAACAGCTAAAAAAACACCCTACATTTTGGGGGTTTATTCATCAAAAACAACTGTAGGAAATAATAGTTTGATTTTGCTTTTAATTCACAATTATGTGCTACTTTATGCTGGTCTTTCGCATAACATTAGTCTCAAAGGGTTTGGGTTGTGAAGCGACGGCACATGGAAAATTTCAAGGTGTGGGAATATTGTTTTAAGTACTGTATTTATTGATCAAGGTTTTCTGGTGTTCTTGTTTATGCCATTTCCTGCAGGATGCGTGGAGTGATAGCAAAGGCCATGTATCCCTGGACACCCAACAAGACTATGAGCTGATTGAAACCAAACAGAAAGCTGATGGATTTTACCTGATCTTCAAGAGACCTTTTAGCACCTGCGATCCTAGGGACTATGTCATAGAGGTGGGGAAAAATGATTTTGGACATGTTTGTGTGTATGTGCCAGTGTAAATGTACGAAAATGTTTTTGGTTACGCAAACAATTCACAAGCATTCAATAAAAAAATAAAAATAAAAAAACTCAACCGTGAAGTATTTATTCAATGCCAGGAATTATGGAAGAAGATTTACCCAACTTGCATTTCAGCCGCAATTGAAAACGGTCCTGTTACAGTATATTTGGCTTCTGCTTAAATAAATTAACCAAATCTAAGATAGGAGTCATTCCAAAAGTCCTGCAAAACAGACATGTTGACAATTTCCTTTGCTGTAAAAAAAGATACAAAAATGACAGCATTAAAGTAAAAACACATAAAATATAAAACATATAATGATTAAAACATATATAAAGAATAAAATGATTAAGAATGAAACGATTAAAAGAGAGGAAAAATTATAAGAGTGGCTGCATGGTGGAGCAGTGGGTAGCACTGTTGCCTTGCAGCAAGAAGGTTCTGGGTGTGATTCCTGGTTTTCTGCCTGTGTATGTGTGGGTTCTCTATTATAAGAGAAAACAAGTTGTTCAGGTATTCATTTTGCGTTTACATCTTCAGATTAGATAGCTTCTTAATTCATTCTTAAATCTTTTATAACCATCTACCTGCTGAAAACATGCTAACACAATTTGCCTTTAAGATTTTATCTGCCACATTTATTTCTGATTGGTCAGTAATATATGTTGCATACATTTTATCTTTATTTTTGTATGTACAAAACATAATGTGAGAATGAAAGGAAGTAAAGGATTTTATCCATCAATGATATTCCAATTTCATACAGATAATTTTATTAATCATTGTTTCCATGGTATCACTTTTTTAAGCTTATAAACCCAAAAGTCAACACTTGTTTCTATGACATCACGAAAGTATGTCTGTTTGTCTTACGAAAAAACGAAATACTGATGTAAGCTACAAATATAAGGCGGTATCAATTTAAAATGAACTCTTCTCACCTCATTTATTCTGCTGTCAAGTGATTTTAAAACCTTTATGTTCTTACTAATCAGGAAGGAACTGTACACATCATCTACGGCTTGTTGGATGAACCTCTTCCCTCTCTTGAAGATCTGAACCTGTCCAGGATCCATACAGGGGTACAGAGGTTGTTAATGCTGCGTCCTGACATGCCGTCACCCACTTTGCCTCCAGATGTGCGCACATTGGATGTTGTTGCACCAAATGTCATCATACCAAACCAAGAAACTACCTACTGGTGCTTTATCCAGAAACTGCCAGATAATATGCCCAAGAACCACATTATCATGGTATTACAAATAACAGAGGTCTCACATTTGATATGTTATAATTTATATGACAAAAATGCACAACTTTTCTATTTTTCTTTCCTTCTGCCAGTATGAATCTGTGATAACTCCAGGTAATGAGGCCATTGTGCATCATATTGAAGTGTTTGAGTGCGCACCGGATCTCCAAGAAGTACCGCACTACAGCGGCTCCTGTGACGATAAGATGAAACCCAGAAAGCTCAACTTCTGCCGCCATGTACTCGCTGCATGGGCCATGGGGGCTGAGGTATGATGGCAAATCTATGTACATGATGAACATAATAAATATGCTTTAGATTACAAATAATCCAAAAAAATCCATATTCCATCAACCACCCTCAAATATGCAGTAACTAGAATAAATGTCACCAATGGTCAAATGATTCATGAAACAAAATATTTCTGTAATACAAAACTGCAAACACAAAAAAACAAACCAGAATAACTATAAAAGTCATTTGGTTTCATATAAAAACCCAGAAGCAAATAGAAACGGAGGGCTGGGACCAGTCCAGACTTTGCACCTATTTTAGGAGACAAACAAAAGCTCCCACGCTAGTAATATTGAAGCCGCAAGCTTTAAAATTCTGCAAAGATGTTCCCACACACAGCACGTCTATTAAGAGACAGTCTGTATGTGGGAGCATGAAAATATTTATAAACTTGCTTACAAAAAACAGAAAAATACATCCACAAAAACAGCAAATGAACCCTTAATGTCAACAAATTTTAAGATTTTTCAGAGGTGATGAAAACAGGTTTCATTATGTTTTCATAGAATTAGGTTTTTAGTTTTTTTTTTAATGGTTTTTTATTCAATTCTTATGTCACTAGAACTTAACAATACAACTTTAAAAGCTCTTATCTAAACAACAAAGTATAACTTGTAGAAAATACATTTAACATTTAGCTTAAGAATGACAATCTTTTTCTCTGCCTGGGTCTGTGAGTTCAGCTTTAATAAATTGTCTGCCTCGAGATTTTTTTCTGACCTTGTGCTAAATAGTTATTGAGTTATTATTTATAATTAGAAGTGGCTGTTGGTAAGACTGAATAGTATTGTTTCTCCTTTTCCACTCTGGATCTCTGCACTAAAATTTTGTAAAGTGTGAAATGCCATCACCAGAATAAACCTTTCTTTTGGAACCTTGAGTAAATAAAGTTGTCGGTGGTAGAATTAGTAACAACTTCCTCAATAATCAGTTTGTAAATCTATATCAGTAGTATATATATGTATATTTCGTACAATATCATATTTAAATAGTGAAATCTGGGGCAAGTAATCAGCAGAAGTTTTCCAAATGTTACCTTCAAACTATTTTTTTTCTCAAAAACTCCAATTTAAGCACATAAATGATAAACTTTCAAACTTCACAGTGCTGGAGTACAAGGCCACAAGGTGACAAAGTAGTGGCTGAGCAAGTAAAGCAGCCTGCTATCCACATAAAGCAAATAGGACAGGCAACAGCGAGGCTGTCACCATATTTCTCTGCACTGCTTCCCACCGTATCACAAGAGAGCCTGGCCCCTCTCCGATTGGATTATCTGCCAGCTAAACAAAACAAGCAGGATGCCTTCTGTGAGCTGTGAAGACAAGATTAGGTTGGAAATATTCAGGGCTCTTTCATCACCTTCTTATAGTGTTGTTTTATTCTCCTGAGCAGAAAAAAAGGGCATTGAAGCTTTGTAAAACAGCAAGGAAAAAAAGGGAAATAATTCTATTATAGAGAGCTGTTCATTTTAAAGAGTAGAGAATAGAGTATTTATCTTTTTTTTTTAATTCAAACTTCTTTGGGAAGTATACGACTTTAAATTGATCATAGGGTTACAAAATGGAAGCTAAAGTCATTGATCACTTTTATTTTCAAATCAAATTAACTTCAATTCAGTTAATTCTTGTGTATTTTAGAAACCTAAATAAAATTCACATTTCTACTGCTTATAAAAACAATGTCAATACATCAGTTTTTCAAGACAGTACATCAAGACTAAAATAACTTACATGATGGTTTATCTTATGAATCTTGTATGTATTTAAAGTGTGCATTGATACACATGTGTGCTTGCAGGCTTTTTACTATCCCACTGATGCAGGCCTAGCCATGGGTGGACCTGGTTCCTCAAGGTTCCTTCGTCTGGAAGTCCATTACCACAACCCTCTACTTATTTCTGGTACATACATTATACAGATGATTAGTTAACTCAGGGATAAAGTGTACTTCGAAGGCATGTTTGGTTAAAAAAAAGTAAAAGTAAACAAGCAAACTCATCTCCTTAGTCTCTTCTTATCAAATAAGTAGATATAATTTTTCAAACAATATCTCTGGATATGTTTTGTGTCCAAAGTACCAAATGTCAAAAAACGTTAATCTAAACTAAACATTACTGGAGGTTTGCAAATAAGAATTTTTTTTTTTTTTTCTAAAGCTTTGAGCTACCAACACATGTATTTTTTTTTTACATTTCTTTTGAGAAGAAATATACATAAAATGCATTTTTCACTTAGATATCTGTCTGTTTGTTCTCTATTGGGAGCATAGCTCTAATCTCATATTTGAGATTCCCAAAATTCAGCCAAAAGTTTCCTAAACCTCATTTGCCATCATCAGTAACCAAAGGATCCAAAAAGCTGAAAGGGAAAAAAACGACAATTTTAACCCTTGACATTTTTAGCCTCTCTGTTTAAAGACATCAAACTGTCACATTCTTGGTTTTGTTATGTTTATTTAGAGTATTCAGCTTTACTTTGCTGCTTGTTTTAGTGTTTAATTATTATTTTGTTGTTTTCTTGTTAGTTCCTGTCTTCCAGGTTTTCCATTTGTTGTCCTCTGCTGCCCTTTTGTGTCCTTTATCCCTAGCTCTGTTTTCTGCTCTGTCCTTACCTGTTTCCAATTCTCTCGTTAGCCCTCTCTTTGTCTCTGTCCCCTTTAAAAGCCCTCCCTCTTCAGTTCCTGTTTGCTGGATCCTCGTCTAACGTCTATCTGCTTACCTCGTCTCTCCCTGGCTCCTAGAGTTTGTCTTCCCCTGATGTCTCCTTGGTTCTGGTTTGTTTGTTATTTTTGTTGGATTTTTTGATTCCAGCCTCTGTTCCTGTGAACCTCATTAAACCCACCTAAATTCACCTCTGCCTACTTGCATCTGCTTTTGGGTCCTCAATCCAACACCAAATCCTGACACAAACATGTATATCCTCTCATGTTGGATTAAACATATTGCATTTTCCCTTTACACAGCTTCTCTTTGCTCTCTTTGACTTTAATTTATACACCTCACTGATTCCTGAAAGTAGCTAACTTCCATCCTTCTTTCTTTGCTGACACTGTCGGTTTTTGACTTTCTGACCACCTTGTCAGAACTAATCGAGCGGTAAATCAGGCAATTCCAGTCACAAATGAATTTCTCTGTGTATCACATGTAAAATTCATTATTAGCAAAATTCACAATGGTCTATATTTAAAAATGGTAACATACTGTAAGATTGCTTTTATACTTTCTCTTTTTTTCCCAAAATATTAGCATTTCCTAGTCTTGTTCAAACCCCAGTAGCTTCCTAATACCTTTCTGGCCAAGAAAAGATGAGGGAGCACCTATTTGATACTTTCAGTGAATGCTCACTCCTGCTATTAAAGCAGAAAATATATTTCAAAAACTGGGAAGGTGCACAGATGGTCTACATATAGAACATTTCAGACATAGAAAGTTGTATAGCTGTCAAACATAAAAAATGTATGCACCTGTATTTTTAATGCAGGCCGGCGCGATTCATCAGGTATAAGACTGCATTACACTCCCAGCCTGAGGCGGTACGATGCAGGGATCATGGAGCTGGGCCTGGTTTATACTCCTGTCATGGCGATTCCTCCAAAGCAGCATTCCTTCTATCTCACTGGGTATTGCACATCCAAGTGCACGCGGACTGTATGTACAGAAAAGCATCATTTTGTGGTTAAACTGCAGAGAAACTGCCAAATCTAAAACTCTCTTTATCTGTTTGTTTCTCTAGGCTTTGCCCCCAGGTGGTATCTATGTATTTGCATCCCAGCTCCACACCCACCTGGCCGGCCGTGGGGTCAGAACGGTTTTGGTGAGGGGAGGGAAAGAGCTGGAAGTGGTTCAGGAAGATCCGCACTTCAGTACAGAGTACCAGGTGAAAGAAAGGACAGCTCCACTTAACAAATGAATGTGGATGCACATTTTTTATCTTTTTATTAGAGAGGGAAAAGTATCAAAAATCTTACTTGAAATAATTACCAATTATAATTTAAATATTCCAAGAGAAGAGTCAAGCTGTTGTATTAATTTAATCTTATTTGATAAATATATAGTACGTTTATAATTTGCAAGTGGTAAACAGTTAAAAGTTTGTCAAAAGTTAATAAAAAACAGAACATTTCAAACACAAGCAAGTGTGCAAGTTGCAAACCAAAGTGTTGTGTGGGCTAAAAAGGTGACACATCACAGTTTTTTTTTTTATTTCTTATTTCCAATAAATAAGAAAGAAAAGTTAGGAGATTTCTTCTCTCATTAAACCACTAGAATTTCCATAAAGAGTACAAAAACTGGAGTATTGCTTCTAATTTGGCAGAAAATGCTTCCTTAAGAACTATTTTATTAATTCAAAATTAAACACATGAAATAATATAAAATAAAGATATGTTTTACAGTTATATGACTAGAAAATATTTGCAACCTTTTAATGAATTGTTCATGTGAGCTCACTTTCTTAAAAACCCATGGAGCATTTTTGTATGAATCTCTGCTCACCCTAGAAGTAAACATATGCGACTAAAAAAATCCATACACCACAAAAAGGAGACTGACTGACATAAAAACAAGTGACAGTAGAAGTCATGTCATGATTTAAGCCTCACCAGACACACAAAGGACTCCAATTTCATTGATTGAAGTCCTTGTCCATCAACATTGACGGCATAAAGCTTATTGCCAGAGGAACTCTTCTTTTAGTTTCATTAATGCAAAATGCTAGACAACCCTACTAAAACTAATTTAAGAATAACTCAATAAAAATGTAAAAAAAAAAAACTCATAAAAAGCACAGCTACTTTTCTTATTTCCTCTTGCAGTGGAGTGGAGACAGCTGTGTTATTTTGTTAATTTCTACTTTAAAGGCTATGGCGAATATTTGTGTCGCCATCTTCTGTCTTTATTAGATGCTATTTGCGTATGTCTTTTTATCACCAAAAATGTGGTTCATTTGAGAAATGTGTTGCTGCAACTTCGTAGAAGTGTGGAAACACACAATGCAATGATTTGTAAACGGCCTGTTTAGACGAAAATAGAAAATAAAGAAACTTAAAAAAAAACCAAAAACATATAAAACAAGTTCTTCCAAGCAAACCAACACAAAACTGTTATATAATGGTTTTAGGCCTCATCAGGCACAGCGGACTTTATCTGTCAGCATATTGAGAAACAGCAGCAGACATCTGCTGTTTCCTCACACTAAAAAAACACTTATAGCAAAGCATCTGCAGCTTATGTGAGACCAAATGTACATTTAGAGGAGTTAGTTCAAAACCTGATGCTTCATTAGACATGCAGGTTTTTGCTGCATCATTCTCATCCAAGCTTACACTTCCTGTTTTTGGTCTTTTTTTAGTTTTTGAAAACTTGTTAGATGTTTGAATACTGCATGGAAATGTGTCTTGAATCTTTATAAAAGCATTCTGTTTTCAATGCTAACATTAGCTAATCACTTCTACATGTATGTTGTTGCTGCATGTTCAGTTGACATTTGACTGTTAATCTTACCATGTTTTGTTTTTGGTAGACAATCCGAGTTCTAAAGAAAATGGCAAATATCTTACCAGTAAGTACACATTTGTGGATTTTTTTTTATATATTGCATTGTATTTTATTAAATCACTTTATTTGGAATTATTATTGAATCTTACTAAATTAATTATTAACAATAATCTTATATAATAATTATAATTACTTACTAAACTGCTGAATGTTGTGTAAAATGGGTTCATTAATTTATAAAAATTAAAAAAAACTACATACAGTCATATATTTATATTACTATTTTGTATGTATTCATTAATGTTTTTCAAGGCTGCACTTTAAAAAATGAAATTGTCTTGAGCTGTCTAAATAGAAGCTGTAATATTAAAGGTTTTAGGAGAACTTTTCCAGAGAAGACCAAACAGCTGTGATCCTCAAAAACACCTTTTTCCTGACAGCAAACTGCCTGCTGATGTTGCATGTGTAATTTCTCTTAAATCCTGCAGGGAGATGTCCTTATAACAAAATGTACTTACAACACAGAGGACAGGAACAAGCCTACAGTGGTGAGACGTTCTGCTATTAAAATGAGAGCTTGTTATAACAGTATAACCCTGAGTACCCTCTCTAATCTCTCTCATATTCACTGTATTTTGTTCATTCTGCTTTCATTAACACTCCAGGGAGGTTTTGGCATCATGGAAGAGATGTGTGTTAATTACATTCATTACTACCCTCGGACTCAGCTCGAGCTCTGCAAGAGCCACGTTGACCCAGAGTACCTGCAGAAATATTTTACCTTCATTAATAGGTACTGCATAAAGACAGTTATCTTTACATTCTAACTTTTTTGTTAATTCTGTCCTTGTAATTCATGCTTGTCTTACAAACATGAATTACATAAATATTTGCATCTCAAAGCTGTAAAATATATTTTTTTTCATCTCTGTCTTTTATAATGACTTGAACCTGAAGTCTGTCTTATTAATCAGGAATTATATAATTGGGATTCCCTGTTAGGGGCCAGTATGTTTAGCGAGCATTTTTCAGCAGAAAAAACAAAAAAATATAAACATTATAAATGCATATTATTTAATACTTTCTTATTGGGGTTATTTGGCTTTTTATGTTTACATACTGTAGCTCCATCGTTTTTCAATACAGACATGAAAAATATATTTTTCACATAGTATATGTTAACAATTTGGTATTATAAAAAAGCAGAGATAGAGATTTGAAGCAACAATCAAATAACAGATTTTCTAAAAATAGTCTAAAGAAAAAATTTGCTGCATGGAATTAGCAGAAACATGTCATCATATAAAAGACAAATAAAAAAAAAGGGATTGTTGATTTTCCCAAATTAATTTCAAAACAAATGACAGCAGTAGTAAATGTTAGGAATGGTTCAGAAATTAATGTTTGTTTTTGGATGACTGTTTTTTTTTTTAGGACAATTCAAAGAAGTAAGATGATAAATTTTAAATATGACAAATATGACCTATGCTCATTCAACACAGCAGAAATGGCAGGAAGGTTAACCCCAATGGCACTGAATGTCCGGGGGTCAGTTTAAGGGAATAAGAGGGCTTTTTTTTATTTAGGATTCAATATGCTTTTGACCTATATAAAAAAAAGATAATGCATCTTTAAAAACCGTCTGTCTTTTGCTACCATCTTCCCTACATTTCCCCTCCAGGTTCAATGGTAATGACCAGTGTGTGTGTGGCGATGTGGGTGTGACAGAGCAGTACTCTCAGGTGCACTGGGATGATTTTGCTGGAGAAGTGTTGGATTCTCTTTATAATACAGCTCCCATCTCCATGCACTGCAATCAGTCGACTGCACGCCTCTTTCCTGTGAGTCACCTATTCATCAAACACTCATATTTACAAGCTATAACACACTGACAGGCCACCAATTAAGTTATATCAATACAGATATATCAACAGAAGAGTCAGACTCACTTAGCTGAATACTTTCATAAACCACAGACTCTCAAGATGATGGAATGAGAGTGAATAAATGAATGGAACGGTTTGGAGGCCTTGATAAAGTTTTTCTGACAGAAAACAGGAGAGAACAGGAGAGTTAAAAGGTCTGTGTTGAAAGGAGGTGTTAAACCTCAAAAATAAATCCTAACCGAAAATCCAGTTTATATTAAACAAAGTTTCACAACGTCGCTTGAAATCTTAGGGATGTGGTGCTAAAACCAAACAGCTTTATCAAAATTAGGTTAGAAGAGCAACATGAAAAAGAGAACCTGTCAGGGAAAATGTGCTTATGTAGGAATACTTTAGATTGCAAACTCAGACTGGTCCTTTCTTCCACATATGGGTTTTTATACCTTTTTAGATTGAATGGAAGGCAAAGGAGCTGCAGATGTCCCAGAGAAATAAAAAAGTGAGTAATATTTTAGACTTGTAGTTAATGTCCTGCAGTATGACACATTCTCAGTGGTTTATTTTATAGTGTTTTTTTATTTGAGCTTCTAAATTAGGTTGATATCATGCAGGCTTGGATTATTTTAAAAAATAGAGGCTGAATGGTTCCGCCTCAGAGCTGCTTTAAAGCGTTGCATACAATAGTGCTACTTTAGCCTGTCAATACAGTGAAAATTGTACTTTCCTTTTCACTAATTCTTTTTGCTTTATGTCACAGTTAAACAAGTTCAATATTAGACAAAGATAAGTCAAATTTAACAAAGCACTGGGTAAAATGTCTGCAGAACGTAATATATATTAAAATGTTAGTAAATTCTATGACCTGATAAAATGTGCCTGGTTTTAGTGACATAAATAAAAAGTAAATATAGAATTACCGTAGCTTGCTTCATGTTAGACAGTTTTGCCTTATAAATTATTTTCAGTCATTTTATAAACACTTTTAATAAAAACAAACATGTACAAACAAATCCTGAAAGTATTAATAGATTTGCCTGAGCTGCCTAAACCAACACCATGGAAAAAATCCTAAGAGGGGAATTATCATCCAACCAGAAGCTGAATAGAGGTATCATTTATAAAAAGCTTTATCAAATTACAGACATTAATAGATTAACTTTATGCTTTTTCTAAAATAACTTAAGATTTCAGCGAGTGTTCTTACTTCCCAAACTTTTAATAAGTGTAAACGTATTACTTATCTAATAAAGTTTGAAACATTACCAATCAGTACATTTCAGTATTTAAATTTACAGTTAATGATTGATTTCAATTTCAATCTTTAAATATTAATTGTTCTGTTTCAATTTCAATTGTTTTTTCGCTCAACTTCTTGATATGACATAACTTACAAAAGCACAAATTATTCGATTTTTGCCAAATTAAATTTTCAAAATCAAAACCTGTTAAGGTATATAGGATTTTCATCAACCCTGTACCCGCTCCCGAGAGAGAACGCCTATCAGGCACAAGCCCAATTCTCCTCGTTCACGCTCTATTTAAAAGTTGTTGGTATTGCTTTTTCCACTATGTCAGACTCACCACCGGTAAGTGAAAATGGGGAAGGGCACGTATGACGGCCTTACATAAGCATATTACCAGAATGATTGAAAATTAGCAGGACCACTTATTTTGATGATGCACCCGGAAAAAGAACATCCTCCACTAAACCTTTAACTGTAAAAAGTGTTTTTTTTTTCAATGAAATTATAACTTGTATCATATCCATTCCAGGGTGAATGGGAGAAACAGCCTTTACCAGAAGTGACCTCCATCCTACCAAAACATCGCTACCCCTGCGAAGGAGGTCCAAAGTCTTACAGTTAAGCTGGTACGGCTCCGGTCGGTGCAGCAGCAGAAGTTTCAGGACAGAGAGCGATAGTGGGACCAATAGAAGACCAAAGAGGCATCTGTAATGTGACTTAGTTTGTTTTTAGTTCTATTTCTGTATTTCTAAATTGCATCCACTGCTTACTGTAATTTTCCAAGTTCAAACTCCTACTTCCTCTGTCTATTGTTAGTGCATACTTATTAAGTTAATAGCAGCCTTAATCAGGAGTTATATTTAATAAACTGACATAAATCATATTTTGCATCACAGTGGTGCAAAACATGATATAAAAATGAAAAGCTAAAGAAAAAAAAGTTTTTGTTTTCCTTTGCATGTTTCTTTAATGACATTAAAGCATTGTTATTTGTCATATCATTTAATGCAGTGCTATTAAATAAACATTCTATATTACAATAAAATGTTGAATTTCTGTGGGGTCCACATCTTTGGCGTAGTAGCTTTATTTGTTTGTATTAAACAGATTTATTATGAAAAATAAAAACACACAACATGGTTTAGATAAAATAATCTTTTAATAATAAACAAATTGTCTTAGACATAAGTAACAAATCTAGATCGACACCAAAAAGTTGTTCCAATTATTTTGCTTTGCATGTCACATTCATTATTTTAAATCAGCACCATGAGATTCTTTTCTCTAGACTTAAAAAACCATGCTCCTCATATGTCAGTTAGCTCGTGCTGCACGTAATGATAAAGACTCTGAAGAGTAGTGTTCTTTAACCACAAAATATGTTGTTTTTATTTTAAGTTTGTCCTAAGAACTATGATTTTAAAAATAATTAGCTTCATGGACAGAGTTAATGAATTCTTTAGTAAACATTTTGTGCTTGACTTGCAGCGGCAAACATCAGAGAAAGAATAATTCAAACTAACTTATACTCTTGTTCTATGACTAAAGAACACTTTATGTTCCAGTTCTCTATTACAAGTTACAGCTCCTACATTTATTGCAAACCCTGGTAGAGATGCATTGAAAAAAAAAATTAAATAAACAAGGAATTTATTTTCCGTTAAAGTCTTTTCTAGGACTCTCCATTCAGATGAGTTCATTAAAACCCTAACTATTTTTTTAAATACATGTAACTTATTGATTTATCTAAATTTATGTTTTCCCCTTTGGGCTGTTAAGAAATTCAAAATAATTTGTTATTTGTAATCTATGTCTTTGGCTATCTAAATGATTACACCAGTGTGACAAAAGTTTTTTTCTTAGCCACCCTTCAGAATGGAAATGACAAAGAAGCAATTAATTTAAGTGAGACAGATGTGTATTTACCTTCATCTGCAGAGATGCACCAATGTGATATCTGAATCAAACATCGGCTCTGATGTTTAATTAGCTGAATTTATCGGTGATCGGATATCAGAGATCCAAACAAGTGCACTTAACATGGAACTGTCAATTCTTTTTTTCCTGCTAATGTAAATAAATAATATAAAATACATTTATATCTTTTTTTAATTTACCTTTTTAATCAATATTTATGGTAAGCCTTAGCTCACATGGGAAGTTATAGGGATAGCTGATACGCCTAGTCCAGTTATCAGTATTGGATCAGAAAAAAACTGCGCCTCTATTTATATGTCAGAAAATGGCATCAAGATCATTAAAATCAGAAACTAGCCTACACTTGCCCAAAATACAGCAGCAACAGTAATCAGAAAAGTCAGAGTCTCCAAAATTGTGTTTAGATCGCTGAATTAGTAAGTGGCATCCTTGTCCCTTTCTTTTAAAAGTTAAAACCCATTTTTACAATAACTGTTCAGGCGACTGCAGTGTAAACAGACATAGAAATCTGTCAGATAATCAGGTAAACAAGTGATGCTATACATAGGATGACTGGCTTTTAAAACTAGCAAAAAAATAGGCCCAGTTAACAAATGTATTACATTTAAGTCAATTTTTAATAAAAAAAATTTTTTTATAATTTATGGCATAAATGGCAAGATTAGTATTAAAACACTTACTAGTTAATTGGTATTAGTAGTTTGCACCGATATCGAAACCAGTATCGGGCGGGGCCCCCGATCCAGTACTAAAATGGTATCGAATCGGCCAGTACCAACAAAAAGGGCATCGATAACATTTTGAGAGCCAAAAGTTTGCTCAACTAATTTCACCCATTCCAGGTAGGCAATAAAAAGTTCTACTGGATTTCACTTTGTATTACGGTAGTCTTTTTCCTGCTTCACAAAGGTCGGCAGCAGCTTGACAAAGCCATGATAGCAATTATTTTACATACAAGTAGTATGCAGTTCTCGATATATATACACACACACACACACATCTATTTAAAACAGATGGTATTGGCCAATACTGCACAACCAGGTACCGGGGCCAAAAAATGGCATCAGTGCAACACTATTTATTAGTGAGGCTGAGGCAGATTTGCATCTTTCTGCTGATTCTTCTCTGGCAGAAATCATCTTATTTATGAGGTAATTTAAAATGTTAGACCTAATTTTACTAATCTAACAACATTTAAGCTCCTAAAGGGGCTAAAATGCAAAAATAAAAATGATTAAAATAAACTATGCTAATAATCACAGCTTGAAGAACTTCAACTGAAACATAAAAATGACAATAGTCACTGGAGTGAATGGCAACAGGTAAGAAAACTAAAACCAGGGATCTTTCTTTAAGAGCAGCATCCCTTAATATATATTTTACCTACTGTATTTATTTTTTTATTTTTTACCACCTAAGTGTAACTGCAGTTGTTTATTACAATACCATTAACCTTTATCCCTGGAACTTAAATGACCTGGAACCCTCAAACTCCCCCTGAAGCGTAAATCTAAACTATAAAACTGATTTAAAATCCAAATTATAACATTTAGGCATGTTTCCAAACATCCACCCTAACCCCTAAACCCCTCAATCATCTCATCACCATGGATGATCACTACTTTCAAGGTACATTGTGGGAAATTTCAAGGCCACTACATTTTCATCCACCAGATGTTGGGACACTCGTCTAAAATGGCATAACTACTATATAGTGCCCTATACAGGCAGACATTCAGACACAGCCTTAGTTTAATAAACTAATGTTATAACAAAGAATACAGCTAACATACTGTAGAGCAGCTGGCTCAGTTCTGCTGTGTATCATTAAAATCTGTTAAAGGTACAGATTAGTTAGTGGGATGTGGTTATTTTTGTTTCTGCCTTCCATCAATCAAACATTTCAACAGAAACAGAATAAAACCTTAAAATATCATCATCACAGCTGTACCAAAAACGATCAGGGCCATATCAAAACTCTGATACCTCCATATCAATGCAATTTTGTTGGGTAAAGTTCCATCCCGCTAATTTATTATACCTTGACAGATGATGTTTTGACAAAGGGAGATAAAAAAGGTAAAGGAAAGTGTCCTAAAGCTAAATACGACTTAAGACTTTTGATTTTAGCTGATTTGTTTGAATTTTTTCTAAAGGTTTTAAAAAAGTGCACATTTTCTATACTTTGTGCAGTTTTGCATCTGGGGAAAGACATGAAATCATCTCCTGCACATAATTTTTAACCTAATGAGACAGAAATACCCACCATAGAATAGTATGCATCAATGTTAAGAAAAAAGATTAAGGATTGATTAGACTTAGCCTCATAAAATAACAAAAAAAAAGAAAGAAAAATGTCTACTTGAGGCTATTTTGTGGGGATAAAGAGCACAAGGCACAGATCTAACACTTTGAAGCAAGAGACAGGGGGTCAGCCAGTCAGTTTGCTAGACTTTATGAATATTTTAGCTTTCAGGATGAAGCCCTGATCTCCAGTTGTGGGTGATAATGATGCAGCCGATTAATGGGGAATCAAAAACAGCTTTGCTCTTAATTTAAAAACCAAATAACAATAAATCCTCATTACTAAGGAAACATCAGCATGGGATTCAATTTGAGTAAAAACACACACAAACATGGATAATCTCTTTTCCGAGCCCTTGAAAGACATCTTTGGTTAAAGGCAGCCACTGCCAGTGCTTCACATAGAACTTTGCAATACTGAAACAAATCTATGATCATTATTATGAGTTCTGCTAAACGGCTCAATGCAAAGTGAGCTGCCAGAAAGAGAAATACCATATTTTCCAGACTATAAGCCGATACTTTTCCCCAAGCCTTGAACCATGCAGCTTAAAATATGGTGCAGCTTTTCTGTGGATTTTTCCTGACCACCAGAGGGGGAAGTCAAAGTTGGAAATGAAAGAATAAGGGTCTAATTTTCATTTAGCACAACAACATGCTACAACAAGGCAGCTTATGGCCCAGTGTGGCTTATATATGTACGTTTCTAGTTTTTCCTAAAAATTTACCGCTTATAGTGAAGTGCGCTTTATAGTCCAGAAAATACGGTAATTGCAGTTAGAAGGTCATCTTTAAAGTCATACATGCCAATATGCACACAGATTCTTAAAAGTAGTTTGACTAAGAGAAAAAAAATCTTGATCTTGATGAAATTTTTTATGATAATCTTACATTATTTCCTTTTTAGAAACAGTGGAGCCAGATTCTTCCTGCTTTGATTTTATACTGAATAATGTTAAAAATACAATAGAAATACATTTTAGAAACATTTTAAATGGCAAATATATGCATTATTGTAATTGCAACTGAATGTGAAAAAAGTGGCAGGCTGCATATCGTTCTCTGACCGGTCACTCGTAGATCCCCTTAACACGTTTATTTTCAGGGTCGAATGGAGATTTGAGGTGGGCCTTGGCCTTGTATGTCATTCCCATTCTTTCGAGAGTAAACTCGCCAGTTTTAACAAAGTCGGCACTCACCTGTAAGAAATTAAAAATTTCTTCAGTAAAAATAATAAATAAAAAAAAAAACATGTGAAAGGCTTAAAGAAAGGAATAATGAAAGAAGGATATAAAGGAAATTACAACAAACAAATGAACAGACTAAAGAATAAGAACATAAAACGCAACTAAGCCCTTTGTGAGTCACCGGTCACAAAACTTATTTTCACTCACCTGTGCACTGTTCCCTCTTTACATCCTTCCCTACTGATCTACTAAACTGTCTCTCAGTCATTTACCCACTGAACTAACACAGTTGGTTGCTTCATAATAAAAAACACTGAGCAACACCAGTTTCTCTTTAAATATCATTTGCCTGCAACAAAGGAAATCCAACACTTTACTGAAACAAGATCTAAATAGTTGCTCTTTGCCCTTCATTTAAAAATATAATATTAAAAAGATTATTGCATTTATTAGTTGGATCAGAGTTGTGATTTAATGTTTTAATAAAAAAATTTAGGGAAAAAAAAAAATCACTTCCCCAATCATTCTCCAGGTGCTCTTAACTTTGTTATGGATTAACATTTATTAGGAAGTCAAGATTTATTTATTTAGTCTGGGAGAGATAAAAATAACAATATTTAAAAGTAAGAAATGACAATAAAAGGGAGAATACAGTGTGTTGGTGTTTGCATCTCCTTAAAATCTTACCACTCCTCCATCAGGGTTGCGGATGTATCCATAACCAAGAGTTTTGTCAATAAAAAAGGCATAGTCTGCTCGCCGTAGGTGACCGACTGGGACGCCATTGCGGAATATAGCCTCCAAACCAAACATTGGTACTTTCCTGGTGTGAAGAAGGAGGAAATAAAATGTAAACATTTTCATTAAAGTCTGGCAAAATACATCAATGAAAACTGCACACAAGCTGATATTTAGAAAGTGGAGTAGCTGTAGGGAACTTTAGTTGTAAAAAAATAAATCTCCAAAACATGTAATAATCTGTTCCCTGTAGTTTTGGAGAAGATTAGCCAGCACAGGGTATCTACATGTTTCAAATGCTGTATTTTGACCTGGAATATCATTTAATAGATCTCTGCTAAGGTCATAAGTTACAGAGTGTTGCTTTGAGGCATATATTTCTACAGTGGTGAGATTTTAACTATAAAACCTGCAAAACTATAGAACCTGAAAGGAACTGATAAACAGAGGGGAGGTCAGATGGTCAACGAATAAAGTCTATATGGAAATTTCCCATTAAAGATACAAATAATACCAAAAAAATATATATTTTCAGCTTTTCCGTAATTCACCAGTCGATGTAATAACAATGTCATTTTAAATGGAATGGCTACAGTTTAAGTCGTCCAAGTCAGTAGGTTTTTCGCTCACACGGTTATGTTCCCACCTTTAATTGTAATGTTTTCCCGACGGTTTCCAGGTTCTGTGTAGCAAACATTTAACTAAACTGTCCAGAAGGAAAGCGGCAACCATTGAGTTGCTCCTAAGCCCTTTTGTTGCCATAAGCCGGGAACCAATGCTCAAAAGCTCTACCGATGTTCACTCTTACTTTGCTTCTTTCTTCGCTTACATCTGAGGATGTAAAAAAGAGAAGAAGCCATTTCCCAGAGCTTTTAAGGAGCTACTACCATCTGGCAACGTCTAAGATCATGTGTCTTTAGATTATCATTCCCAGTGTTGGGACTAACACATTATTAAGTAAGGAAGGAGTTACGGTAACTACGCTACTTTTCTGGTTTTTTTTTTAGAAGTTAATTTAAAGAAGCTCCTCAGATCATCTAAGCAGTGACCGACAGTTGCTGCCTATAATTAAGAAACATTCTTTATTTTCTGAGAGCTATAATGATTTTATTTGCATGGTTTATGTTTTTCAATGCAAACATCCTGGGATAATACAGCCCAGCTAGTTTTCTGGAATAATATAACCGCTTGTTAATTATATTGCAAAGTATATATATTTTTTTTTTGGTTAAATAACCTGAAAAACATTATTTCTCAGCTTCTTACCTATTTTAAGGCCAAATGAATGTTGTCAATGTGCAAAGAAATAAATGCCTTATTTTTCATTTATTATAAACAACATACATCTACATAAATATATTGCAACTCACTTGTTAAACCAAACGCATAAAAATAGCGTAGATTAGTTTTCAACGTTTCCAGATGTTTAGACCTTGAAATGAATTATTTAATGTATTTATATTCCAGGTTTGAACCACTAGTTTTACTTAAAATTCAACAATGAACGTTTTACAAATTCACTACTTTAGATCATAAAATGTAACTGTATAGTTACTTTGGCTAGTAATGAGCTGTTTTCACTGGGAATCAATTCTCATATAAATTCATAAAGATCGCTTTACATAACCAAAGGTAGATTTTTACGAGTGTTGGGCTTATTGGTGTTAATGTGCAGCGTAAACAGCAGACTCTTATCGGGTGTTTAAAACAATGTTGCTGTTGATTTATTCTCACAGTTGGGTGGGAGCTGGGTCTATACTAATGATGGTACCTTGATATTTTAACGCGGATGTGTATTTGTGAGGCGAGAATGAATCAGTCTTCCAACCTGTGTAGGCGTACGGTGAAATTACCACATCAAACGTGAAGTGCTGACATGGATGCAGCTATAAGCACAGCTCTATCAGCCAAGCTCACCAATCCCCTCGCTCAGTGCAAAGCGACAAGCTGCCACCCCAACAGCGTGGCTGATCGGATCGAGCTCATTCTCCAGGCGGCCACAGGTGACCCATCTTACAAACTAACTGCGAGGGGAACCATCATGAGAACACATAACCAGCACGCCGTGGAGAAAACCGTGAAAGATGAGAAATTTATCGAGTTGACAGGTGTGTCAGATTTTTGGAGATACTATATTGTTAAAGTGGGACATCTATAATCGGAACTTTTTTCAGCAAAAACACAGTAACAATTGGCGCAAAAAAAGTATTTATAACTTTGTCCATATCTTAGGTAAGAAGAGGAAATAACGTATAATTTTGCAAACATAAAAAAGTAAACCTTTTCTTTTAAATTATGGAGGTAGCACACACATGAATGTCTTTGGCAGAATTCAAATGAGCGATTTTAATCTAGGTTAATCTAGATTAATTCCAAGATTACAGATTAAAAATATATATATATCTATGCCCATCACAAACTTTTACAAAAACACTTTTGTTGACCTCAAAGCCACCATTAACTATTTTAATTGTATCAATTTGCAGTTGAATGTTGATATAATACTAGAATTAATATGTTGAAGAATTTCCGTCATTTAATCCAGGCAACAGCTAAAAAAGTGTTTCAATACAAATATTTTAAATTGAGATCAGATTGTAAAGAATTTATTTAAAATCTGAAGAATCAAAATCTAATCAATTCTTGAAATGTCTTTATCATAAGTAAATATTTATATGTTTTTGATCTGTAAATATTTATAAAATAATTATTATGCACTTCTTTGTTCTGTAAAAGGGATTCTTTCATTTTTCACCAATCTAGATGTCTGAGGTTGGATTATTTTTGAAAAATGTATCCTTTGGTGAGAAAGTTGTAGCCACGACCTTCGAGTAGCAATAAAAATAATAGTTTTTGTTCTATTTTGCTGAAGGATTAATTGCAGGTTTTTTTGTTGAGGATCTACTGACTCATCGATGGTGAAGCAGATTATGCGTCGTCTCAGTCCATCTTTTTTCTGCTTTTCCAGTATTTCCCGGCCTTGGAACGGGATGGAACTCTTCAGTTTGCAAGTAAAGGCAAGCCCCGCCTCCAAAGGTGTGTCATCAGGCCGAAGGTCAGCATGCCAGTGCCTGTACCCTGATGAAATAAAGGAAAACAAAGAATTTATGAGCAAAAAAATAAAAATCCACTCTTATAACCAAAGTTGTAAAAGGGGAAATGTTTAACTCAATCTGTATTTCTGCTGAGTTTCAATAATCTAAAATATTTACATTACCTTTTTCTATGCTAAGAGAGTCGATTGCTCTGTAGCCTGAATTGATGATGCCATGCTTTGCACCGGCGGCCATGACAGCTCGGTAGACGGGAACACAGGAGTCTTTGGGAATGTGCAGTTCCCAGCCAAGCTCACCTACAAATGAGAGACGCATCGCTCGAACCTGGAAGGCAGATCAGGTAGAAAAGAGTGTTAAAATGAGGGAGGGATTATTGTGAAGGTTCAAAATGTCCTACTGAAGCTTTATTTCTGCTCATTATTGCATAAAGTTGGGGAAACAAAGAAAAAAGGACATAAAAATGAGTAAGAATGTAAAATGGTAAAGATCAGATAAAGATGAAAATGTAGAAAATGCTACTTTTTTTGCAAAAACATTATCATTATCTACAAAAGCAGAAAGCGTACTCCATGTTGAAAGGGAATGAAATATGGAAGGGGACATAAAATGACTTCTCCAACAGTTTTCACAGTTGGTGCAATGACAGAGAGTCCATCTGTCCAGTCAGGGATCACTGCAGGCTCCATATGCACATCTCCTAGCTCAGGGTAGGTTAGTACATTGAGGCATGTTACCGTGACATACACCAGATGAATGCATGCCTAATGCACGATCACACTCATGTACCAACTAGCTAAAAACAAACAGACAACATAAAAGTGCATAAATCTGTTTGCTTGTGCACCCGCTGTCGATGAAAAGTTAGGAAAACAGAAACAGGCAGAAATGGTCTAATGAGCTGTGAGAGGTTGCAGAGGGGCAGGAAGAGCTATGCTCACACAAACAGCTCTGCAGCCATTAAACTGTCACCGTGACAAGGCCAACAACCAGCTGGAAAACAACACAAGACCCTCACTCAGCACACATGCACAAACACTCCTGCAGAGACGTGCAAAGATGCAGATTGCAACTAACGGGGCATTGTATAATTGAAGAAGGAGAAACTAAGTGGGACTGAGGTTGAGTGAACATATGTGCCGCTGCATGAGTCCATAATGAGTGCAACATTCCTTCCTTCCTTCCTTTTTTTTATTTTTAATTTTTAATTATCATAGGTCAAAAATCAAAGGTCAAAACTCCAAATATGTTACAGTAACATTAAATAACTTGCTTAAATAGTATAACAACGATGACTATAAAGATGATGCTCACCATATCAATTATTTGCTTTTTGATTGTGTAAAGACTTAAAAAAAAGGTGCTGAATGAATTGATGCTAAATTAACAGTTGATCAATAGGAGGTACTTAATTAATAGCTTTTATGTGATTAGTCTGCAATGTATATTACAGATTTTATCTGTTCTTCCCTTTATGGTGCAACAGAAGCACATCAGATTGATTTCATAACACAATATTAATTAAAATAATAAAAGAGTAAACTACCAGAACATGGCTAGCCTGCATATTGCTGTTTGACAGTAATGCTGCCATTAGTTTTGAATCTAATTTTGCTTAAATAGAGTAAAACAGGTGAAACTTTTGCTTCCTGAATTTCTGTAACTGGAAAAGTTTTAAAATAGCAAAGAAATTATCTATCAGCCTTTATTAAGTCAGCTAATTAACATTGTGCAGCAAATGACTGGTAAGGGTGGGATTGAGGGACATCGACACATGGATTGACTTTTCTTATTAGTAGAGACAAAGTAAGAAATATAATCTTTTCTCTCTAAACGCTGCTAGTAAAATCTTTATTTGCCAAATAAATACATTGTTCCTTGATGGTGCATAATTTACATCTTTGAGTGTTTCTTCGTATTTTTACCTGATGTCCTGCTGCATTCACAACTTTATGTGTAGAGAAGGGAAAGGCTTCGTTACTCAGGTCTGTGTCCAAAACTTCCTGTAAAACTTCCCGGCTGTAAATATAAAAAATAAAAAAAATACAATCTCATAATGCATCAGTTTGATTCAATTCAATGCAATTCCCAACACATGTCATTTCAAGGCACTTTACAGAGACATCAAACCAGATCATACAGGCAGATTGGTGCATTGCCCCAAACAACAACAGAGTGTCAAGACAGACCTCTATAGAAGATCCTTCCTGCTTACAGTTTTTAACACCATCTCATTGGAAAACTGGATTTGATTTACTAAACATTGTATTTCTCTTTGGGATTAACAAATTATTCTTAAATTTAATGTTTATTTAAGACACCAATGAAAATATCTCATAATTAGAAACAAACTTTCGATGAGGATTTTCCCAGACATACTAACATACATAATGGCATGCTAAATTATGAAGTATTTCATTCCATCGTCCTCTGTTGTTCTCTATTGCCTCTGTGCCTCCCGTGTTTGTGGCTGATAAGAGAACAAGTTAAGTCTGATATGACAACAGGTGCAAACTGGTACCATCTGCTGGACTAGATGGGCAGATTTGCATCTCTTATTTGTGGTTCCATCCACAAGGAAACCAAATTAGGTGCATCTGCAAAGTTTTATAATTTAGATACATATCCGACATTATGGGAGAACATAAACAATCGTGTCTAATCGGTCCCAGATTGCAAATGTAAAAAACACATTTCTTCTTTGAGTGTTTACATGCCAGCAATGTGGCTCTTTGCCGCTATAGTGCCCTACATTAGCTGCGCATGCATTTTGTCTATGACAACAGTTTTAGTTTGATTCACTGGCAGTTTTTAAGCACCATACGTACCACAGCATTGTACAGTGATGCACGTATGAAGAAGCTATTTTTTCTAAGCCGTCTATAAAAACGATCAAGTTCATCATTGTGGTGACTGGGCCAAGGTGATATCTGTTTTCAAAATCTGTTATAAAATAAGGCAATTTGCAAATGAAAAACTGATAGGAGTCTGCACTACCATGTGAATTCCCTGCTGTATGTTTACAGAGGAGAAAGAATTAGTCTTTGTTTTTAAGCTTCCACATATGTCTCAAAAAAAAGAAACTCTGGATCTATGAGAAAATGCGCAAACTCTCCTCCTCCTGCAAACTACACTGCAATCAATATTACATAATGATGAATCATCATAAAAATGATATTTTATATTTGCACTCTTGGCCTGGTATCCCTATGAGTGGGAAGCCAGAGAAAACAGCGGATATTTTTTGCCTTGGTTGTGGCAAAAAGCCAGTTATGAGGATATTTGTTGAATGGCTCAGGTTATGCTTCTCCATCTTTCTGCAAGCAACTTCTAAAAACCAACTGATGTAATGTATGCTAAAATGTGTGGGCATGGGAAAAAAAAGGGAAGCTTAATTCTTATGAGTTGGTAATAACGGCTGATTTTCCCTCAAACTCGGCTCCAGTTAGTCCAAATTCCCTCTAAAGAACTTAAAATCCCAGGAGCAAAAGGCCAGTAATAAAGGAAGCTCTCATTGAAGTCATTTATGTCTTTAATTTACCATTTAACTCTGATCTCTCAGTTAGGGTTGAACAAGATTACTCATGATGTAACAATTGCAAATATTGTTCATAATTGCCCGAACAAAGGACTGAGCAATAGTTCGCACTTTTAAACTTGGTGCCAAGCTGCGTGATAGAAAAGCTTTGAGTCAAAAGACTTCCCTCACTGGGAAACAGTGAGTGAGACAACGCCGGGAGAGAAAACACCAACACATCTCTGTAAACACTGTAATCTTCCCGCTTCTCCAGCTTTACTGGGATCAATTTGCTTCATAAGGGAACAAAAGCAAAACAGAGGAAGAGTAATTTTCTGCAATTCCTCACACATGATGGATATAAATATACTGCTGTAGAGAGAGAGAGGAGAGAAAGAAAACAGGGAGAGTAAAAAATCCACAAACACCAATATAGTTTTTAGAGTAGTAGACTATAGACAGGATGGAAATAATTATTTCTGAACGTAAGCAGATCAGTGAGAAAAAGCATCAAAGCTGAGGCAAGGTGACTTAGAATAGGTCGACCAGGCAACAAGCGAGGAACAGGGAGAGAAGACAAATAAGAAGATCTATCAGATCACCAGAGAGAGAGAAAAAAGGAACTCAGGATAACAGAGGGTAAGAAAGGCCTTCAGGAAGAGAAATCGACAAATCCCACACAGAGAACAGGGGTGGACGCAACCTGCAGCTCGGTGAGCGGGAAGAAGAAAGGCAAAGGGCAGCGATGTAGGGAGGAGAGGAGGTGAGAGAGAAGAGAAAGATAGACTGAGGTGAGCAGTGATTGAGATCAAGAAGTAAAGTTAGCCTGACTTGCTCTGTGTGAAAAAAATAAATAAAAAGAAATGCTGCAGGGAGGCAGAACAAAGCCACAAAGTTGGAGGCCCTTATATCGTCGGCCCTTTTTTTAACCTGATAAAAGGTACCAACTGTAGGTGATGGCTTAGAACACAAGTTCTACATGGAATTTCCTATCTAATGAAATTATCCAGACTGACCACATTTCAGTGAACAATCAGTTTAAAATGGAAAACAAAAGAAAACCTTTTTGAAGAAGTAGGAGAGTAACAGAACAAAAGACAACAGGGGTGTATAAGCCGGCCAATCCGATCGGTCGATACATACATCTGAAACTAGCTTTATTTACTGAGCCTTTCTACCTTCACAAAGATCTGAAAATAAGCCCGCCCCCCTTTTGCTCTGCAGGGAGGAACAGCTCAATCGGAGATACGACGATCAGGTCACGTGCATCTGTGTGTGAAGACATCACCCACTGCATGGCAACCAGCAATGTTGTCAGTTTGGAAGTATTTTGCAGTTAAGATGAATTACATTAAGTTAAGTTTTAATGAGACTATGTTAAGTCTAATAAGACTATGACCTGTGGCCAAAACACAGAACTGCAGCACTCTTCAGCTTATAGTTTCCATTCATACTTTGAAAGGTCTTTAGTTTTTTCACTTAACCTGGAGCTGCCATTGGTGTTTGAGTTAAACTGAATGCAAGTCGTTTTTAAGTATCAACAAAACTCATACTGAATATAACACTTTGATTGTTTGCATGTTAACATGGACACGCTTGACGTCACTTCCACCGAACAGCATGGGAACATCCAAACAGAAGTAAAATTAGGAAATGTACTCATCAAACAATGTTTTAGTCGTAAAGGGTAAAATAAAATTATTTTAAAGATACTCCTCAGTAAAAACGTACATAATGTCTCTTTAAAAAACATGAAGTAAATTGTCGTCAACCTTTGGAGTATTTGTCTATGATTAAACACATGCTGCTGCCCATATGAATTGGCATTTAAATATGATTTCCCTACGAAGTACAAAAAAAAAAAAAAAAAAAAAAAAAAGGGCAGGTGATTGCAATTAGCAATTCGTGTTCGCCCTAAATAAGTAATGGAGGAGCTGCAACCAAAACATTCAATACAACATACCCCATTCACCATTTCATGAGGCCACAACACTGCAAAGTATGCAGCAATTAAAGATAACAATCAAGCTGAGGCTAAAGCTAAAAGTTCCCACAGAGCCAGTTCTTATAAACACTGCTCATAAGAACTAGCTCTCAGCCATTAAAAGCCATTCCACCTCTTTCCTCCACTAACCTCTTTGGTCCCTGGATGCTGATCATCCCCATGTCCTCAGAGTGGTCTGTCAGCTGGCATTGGAAGCCCTGGTCCTGAATAACTGTTCTGATGTGGTTCCAATTGTGTTCTGCGACCCCACCTCCGATGGCAAGGTAGTAGGCATCCCCTGGGTAAAAGGAAGGTGATGGTTTAAGGAAATGAGGCACCCTCACCAGCAGAGAAATACAACTACACACATCAGTAATGAGCGTTTTATCAAATGCTTGCAGAACATAGCAATACCTACAGTATGTAAAATATCTCAAAAAAGGCAGATGTAATTTAACCAAAATATGTAATCTGGTTTATTCTATTTCTGTTTTTTTAGCAGATAAATTAAACAGCCCTGGCTTATCAATAATATAGAGGTACCTTTTATAAGTGCTTTTATAAGTGCTGGCATTTAATTGAATATATATATATATATATATATATATATATATATATATATATATATGTATGTATGAAAAAGAATAACATATTGACCCAGTTATATTTCAGCCTATTTGTTTTGTCCTTTTAGTTACAGTAGCTATTATAAAACCAAGGATGACAGTTTGGTTCATACCATTGGATTCTGGTGCCAGCGGCAGCTTGGCAGCACCTGGCTCCAGTCTGCTCACTGTCAGGTCAGCCTCCGCCCCTCCTCTTTTATTCAGCATACAAGTGTACACAGTGGAACCTGAAGCATGCAAACATATTTACCAGTGAAATATTAATAACTCCATAAGGAAATGCAAACGAATACAGCACAATGCAACAGCATTCTTAATTCATGATCTTTTAAAACTGAATCATATTTCAACTAAAGTCTTCAGTTTGTCATATTATTGCGATGGACAAACACAAAGTACTGCATTACTAGTATGTCAAATACAAATATACATTCTTCTTTTTTAAAAACATAAATAAAAAAAAAACATCCATTTGAATTGAATCACTTTTACTGAGGTTATAATTCAAAATGCTTAATTTCGACATTCCCACTGAGAACTGTTCTATCATTTAATAATGAAAACAGTATGTAACAGTGTCACTTTAACTGATTGGAATGGCCAAAAGGCTCACGATAATTGTGGAAAAGCTTCAGACAGCCACAGCTAAAGTGAGAGAACCATTAGTCATGCAAAAGAGCAAAGTAGAAAGTCCTTACTAAAAGAAAATCTCAAGTCCAATTTGGCCTTGCCACAAGCTATTTAAGGCACAGCACACATCAAGGAGTTTAAAGGGAAAAAAAAAAGAAGTAAAATCACCTTGAACAAGCTGCACCACTGGATAAACACAGCAGAGACAGCAGGACAAAAACCCATTTTAGACAAATACTTATATAAAAGCTTAAGTGCTATTGAAACAAATCAAATAGCATTTTATTTCATAAAAGCTCCCAGGATGTAAACATTGTAGCTAAAAAAAGCTGTAGTCCTAACCATGTGTAGCTAGGATTTAAAATATGTTTTTCCCCTCAAAAATTACCCAAAGTTTCTCATATGATTTTTCCCTTGAAATAAATATTTTAATGTAAATAAAAAAATGCACTACTGTAGATCGATGTTTGACTAAAAATGCTCTCTTCTCATTTTTATAAAATAGAGGTTTAAAGGGAATTAATTAAATGAGGGTCAAATGACCCTAAAACGGTGTGAATCTCTAATGGAATAATAAACTACAAAGACATCAGTAATGAAGACATTATGAATAAAAACCCTGTAATAACTCTGTAACAAATTACAATTGATACAAATTTATGACTTGGGTCATCCATTTGCCAAAAAAGACACTGTTTGCAGTCACTCCTACATATGCATGGGTAACACCTTCATTGATTAAAAGAGTGATTATCTGTGTGACAGTGTTGTTAATGAGACAACGTGCTCATGAAGAGTTATTTAATATAATAAAAGAGATGTTTTTTTTTTCCCAGACATATACTTTTATAAGAGATATAATATTTTAATATGAATGAAATATTGGATGCACAAGGATGCAGGCTTGTCTTGCATAGACAACTGTATCTGTGCAGAAGGTCATTTAAAAGCATGTTAAATTCATGTGTAAAGGTGCATATTAGCTAGTAAAAACACATTTTTTAATTCTTAAATGGCCAATGTCTTATAAGTTTTATTGGTGTTTGAGCAACACGCCTGAATGAACCAGCTGAATTAGTCCCTCAGCATGTCATTGAATTCAGGAGAGGTCTCCTAATGAATCATTCATTTCATTCAGGGATATTGTGTGTATGTGGGTTACCTGAAACAGCTGCCTGACTAACCTGGCTTCTTGTTGACGTCAGCTGAGAAGAGCCAATCAGCTGCTTTCTTGGCGTCTGGTCCGGTGAGATAGAACTTCCCAAAGTAGGACATGTTAAACACAGCTACGTCATGTCGGCATGAGAGACACTCGCTTTTAATCTGTATTTAAAACAACAAGACACAGCGTAGACATTCAGTTGCCATCTCCTTATTTCAAAGAAAGCTGGTTTATAGTTGCATCATTTGGGGCAGACAAGAGAGAAGTTAAAGGCAAAGTTAGAGAATTTAAATCCAAGCTGTCTGTCGATGAAGCTTCTGAATGAGTGTGAAGCTGTAAAGCTCTTTATGCACCACTAAACCTACTGACTATACCCATTAACACTACTTCTTTATATTTTTCGTCATTCCTGTGGTAACTTGTTTTATACTGAGAAAAGGAAATTGACTCAAACACATCTGCTTACCACATCATGATGCGGAGGGAAGTCAAAGGTGTACTCTTTGCCAAGCAGTTCTTTGTATTTGTAGTTCTCATTATTTTTAATGTTGTAAGCTCCATAGTAATCATAGTCTTTAACCTTTTAATAAAACATAAAAACACAGCGTTAAAAGGCATTGACAGTTTGTGTTAATGTAAGTGTTATGTAGGGGTCTTACAGGAGCCGGCCCTTCTTTGTTGAACCAGCCAGGTCTCTCCCAACCATGCCGCTCTTGAAACACACAACCTTGCTCTGTCAGCACCTGCAATGATTTAAAAAACACAAAAGCAAATACAACTTCTGCAAAATATACAAAGGGAACACAAAGCTGAGAATATTGTGTCCGTGGTCTAGAGTTACTAACAGAATCCATAACTGAGTAGGTAAAACAATAATGCATGGTTTGCAAATGTCTTCAAACCTCTGGATTTTCTTTTACATTTTTTGACATTACGACCAAAATGTCCACTTTTTTTGTTTTAATTTTATGTGCTAGACGACCAGAAAGTTGGAACCTAGCTGAAATTAAATGAAAAAGAAAAACATTTTTTCAATTTTTCTTTACAAAAACACCAAGTGTGATGTGGATATACATTTTAATTGGATGCAACTAAATAAATTCCAACTAAATGCTAAATAGATGGAGAGTGTTAGCATATTTTAATCATTGGCACAGATTTCCAAACAAATTTAGGAATGTACTTAGACTGGATTAATCTAGCACCTAAATGTTCTTTAATTTAAACCATACCTAAATCACTGCAGCTCGGACTGTATATTAAGTTGTATTGTTCTGTGAAGCTTTGCCCCAGTCTCAAGCTTTCAGCAGCATTTAACAGTTTTTTTCCAGAATTGCCCTTTATTTAGGCTCATCCATCCTCCTGTCTTCCAGGACAATGCGGCCACCACCATGTTTCACAGAAGGAAGAATGTGTTTAGAGTGACTCGGAGTGTTTTTCGGTAACCTAACCACACAGAGCCTGATTTTCAGATGTTTTGCAGGTCTATAATGATTATAATTAGATATAATAACATTTATTTTTAGAGTAGTATTGAGGGCAATTGGTTGCACAGGTTTTTATGATTGGGTCTCTGATAAAAGGAGTAGAATACACTAGAATACAGCTTCTACACTTTTCACACTTTGATATTGAAAAATCAACCATTTATTGTTGGTCCAGTCTTCTAACATGCATCTTCAAAAACTGCAACCTGTATATTTCCCCTTTCCTTCCTGCAACTACCTAGCCTGGGTGCCATTCCGAACTTAGTCC